TTGATGTACCATCGTTGTAATTGCGTATAAAACACCGTTTCAAATCCTAATAAAAGCTTTCAGGCCAAAGAGGTCTCTTTAACTCAAAAAAAAAAAAATTATAGTTATAATTAATGTTATCTTTAAAATAATTATCTCGACTGTTACTAGACTCTTGAGTATTTGGATTTCTCACTTGTAAATAAATTGTATTCTGATGTTAATAAAGAAATTGCTCTTTCTTTTTCATTTTCTGACCATTCTTTTATTCTTTTAAATCTAGGATCTAAAAGACTTGCAAGTAATGCTGGATCTGGCGGTGTATCAAAATAGTTAAAAAGAGCATTATAGATTGAATTTTTGACTAATTTAATAATTTTATCAATATTTGGTCTAGTAGGTTCATCTACTTCTTCATTATCAGTATCGTCATTAATATCTTCCTCTTTAGTTTCTTTTTCTACAGTTTCATTCTCAGATACTTTTTATATTAATAATTATAATTATTAAATTAGTATATTATTAATAAATAATTTAAATAAATAAATAAATATCTAATACCTTTATTATCTTCTTCAATTACGATATAATTATATTTTAATACTTGAATTGTAGGAAATATTAATGATAATATACAATATTTTTGACCACTTAACCATTTTGTTGCTTCTTTGATTGGTTTAAAAACCTCAATCAATTAATTAAGCAATTCCTATTCCCATGATTTTAAAAATCGCTTTTTTAATATTTCATAATTTTTTTTTGCCTCTTTATTAGTTTCTAAAGAAAGTTTAAAAATTACATGTTTTATAGAATCTTTTAAATCTTTTAAACATTTCCAAGAAGCTAAAGTAGATTCTCATCGGATACTATATTCATTAATAGTTCTTAAGATTTTTAAAGGTATATAAACTACTTTGGTTGTAGGATCTTGATCTAAAGCAAAGTTTGATAAAATTTGATCATTAGTCGAAGTTTGACTTGTTGCTAAATTATTCAAGCTGTTATTATCATCAATATTTTCATATTCTCTTATTAATTAACATTGTGTTTCTTCTAATCTTTCATTTTGTTTAGATGAATTAAAAAAATTATTTAAACTTTTAAACCTTTTTATATATAGACTAATTTTTTGTAATGCTTTAACTACACATAATTGAAGACTATATACTGAACATGGTATACATTCAACACCTTCCTATTCACGAATTGCTTTTACTATATTAGAACCATTATCTGTAACTACTATTTTAACTTTATTATTCAAATCTAAGGATATAAGTTTAGAAATTATAGTATTACAAATATGATTACCCATATGTGGATATTTAATAGATTCAATACAAACAAGAATATCATATAATTCCATTTTATCATTTAACCAATGACAGGTTATTCCAATATATTCCTCTTTAGCACGCGATGTCCAGAGATCTACTGTAATAGCTGCAGTAGTACATGAATTATTTATTAATTTTTTTATAGCTTGAAATGTTTCTTAATAGCTTATATCTAAAGATTTTTTAATAGTTCTATAGCATGGTAAGTGAAATGCTGGATCTAATTTTTTTATTATTTTTTGAAATCCTAATCCATTTACTGCATTAAAAGGTTAAGAATCTATTACTATCCAGTTTGTAACAGCACATAACAATTCATTTTGTTTTGATTCTTTGTGTGTTAACTTTTTTAGTTGACTATTGATTGTTAATTGTTTTTAACAAAAGTTTAAAAAATTTTGGTAAAACTTTTAAAGATACAATGTAAATTTATTAATGCATAAATTTTATTTACTGATTTTTCTTCATATTTTTTATGAGTACTATTTAAATGATGGCTCATACTGCTAGTTTGAGAATTATATACACAATTCCATCCACATTCCTCATTTTCATCTTCATTCTTGTGTCTGCAATATGCACGACTATCAGTCTTTACTTCACAAAACTTCCAAACCCAACTAGTTTTATTAAACCCAAGATCAATCCATTGAGGTTCTTCAAAATCCAGGTTCGAATTGTCATTAATATTTTTTTTATTTGATTGAAAAAGTGCTGTTTGCTTATTACGCTTTTTTGAACTTGACATTTTGAAAGTTGCTAGTTAAAAAATACATATCAATATATGTATTTATATATATACTTATATATAATTGTATAAGTTATATATAATATTACTATGCATTGTAACAAACTAAATTCTGATTTTTGAAGATATAATTAAGTATCTAACTATATTAGTATAGTAATTATCAAAGCCCACAGTATGAAGCAGTATGCATAGTATAATTTTTCTTATATAAGTTAGAAATGGACTTTTTCATATTAATAAACTATAAAAAAGCGATACTTCTAGCTAATAAAAAAGAGGACCTGTTTCTATAATAAAGTAGTATAGTTATAATTACTTTTTTTTATTAAAACCTTATTATTAGCTTATCTTTATTGAATTCTATTCTCACTAAAAACCAAGTAGCAATCTAATAGCGGCTAGAGCTGCATATTTATTTTTATTGCTAGTTATTATATTATAAACAAGCAAGAATATACTAAAAATAATCCAGTTAGATCTAGAAATGTAACTACTAAATTTAATTAGGCATGCAAATAATCTAATACTGTGAATAAGCAGATAACAATAAGTATATTTAATTAACTGCTTAATATGGTATAACAATATGGCTGCTAACAATAGTTGCATTACATTACTAACCACAAAAGCAAGTTTTAAGAAGCCACATTACTATAAACTTGCTTAAACAGTAATAAGAATATTATATATTTTTGAGATTATTTGTATACAAAACACTATTACATATAATTTTTCTTTAATTCATTGCCTTTTTTATTTTTCAAATTTACTGTTACAGTCTATATTAGCTATGAACATACTCATTGACAAAATAAAATAATATACTACTAATACAAAATAAGTTTTGACAGCTTTACTAGTATTTTATTAATTAAAAGTAAAAGGTAAGTCCTTTATTTATTTTACATTATATCAAATTTAACTCTAAATTAATTACATCATAATTATAATATTTTGACTTTTACCTTAACTACATCATAATTAAATACTTCATAATTATATATTTTTATGTGCACTAACCAATTATTAACTGAATTCTGTAATATTAGTAATTTGAGTGATCGTTTATATGATCACGAGACAACACTTTGAATGCAAATGCTTAAATTTTTTTTTTTTATACTCCACATATTCTTTAATTTCTTTCTTTCTTACTTCGGGTTCTCTTCATCTTTATGCTATGTAAGACATATATCAAATTCCAAATTTTGTTATATAACAATTTTAACTGTGATACTGACTTTTTGATTGATCAAAAGTTTAGCTACTTAATGATCAATCAATGATTGATCTATTTTTGATCAAGTTTATAAAACTATACTCGATCATTGATCTAACTTGATCAATGATCGAGTATTATATAATCGAGTCAATATACTACCAAATATCATCGGTATTAAAAAAGTCATTTTTATACTAGTGTGTTGCTATAAGTCCTATATGCTACTTAGCTTGAGTTGAACAATATAAAACCTTATAAAAATGTTAGTATAGATACCTATGAGTTATAATCATATTACGTGTATATCGATGAGACCCATCTGCTAGCAATATAATATAGTTGTTTTTAAATTCGCAAGATATAACTACTCTTCAAATTTCTTTAATTTGATCATGTTTAATTGTTGATATAATATCAGCAAGGTAAATTTTTGCGATTTCATAATTATCTTCTTGTGTGCCTTTGATATCATTGATATTTATACATTCCTATTAGACAAGACAAAACATTTTAGTATAATGCAGTAATGTAGATAAAAAATTGAAAGGAAGTTAATATTTAACTTGTATCATAAAATCAATAGCCGTTTTATCTATTTGAAAACTATCATAACAGAAATATTTCTGCATTTGTTTACATACAGTAAATACCATCACTAGTAAAAGATATTGTGAAACAACTTTTTCTAAAGAATTAAAATAAGTTTTTGTGATTGTTGGAAGCCCAATTGTAGGAATTTGCTCTTTATATTCCTTGATTCTTGCATACTCAGACTTTTTGTTAAGTAGTTCTTGAATCTTCTTTGTCAAGTTCAAAAGTGATGAGCTCGATCGAACATAGTTATGAATTTTGCAATTTAAACTTTCGATCTGTTGAGTGCTGTTTGCACTGGCTATGAATTGATTGTTTGTATAGCATATAGCCTATTTATGTCTGAATGGATCCAGTTGTCGCTTTATATAACTACTAATTGATGTATATTTTGCCTTCAAACTTTCTTATTGATTTTCAAAAACACTTGAAACTAGTGTATTTCGGCACTTGAAAAAAGCCTCACGAAACTCCTTAAATTTTGCTAATCCTAACTTATTTTTAAGGTTTTTTTTAAGATTAAGGTCAATGTAGAATATATACAAACAATGAATAGAATCTGGAAATTCCAAACTTATTGCATTAATCATAGCTAGATCTGAATCTGTAAACACAACTTTTGGTGTTAAATTATTTGTGCATTTTTTAATCATTTTTAATGCCCATACAAAGCTACTTTCTGTCTCATCTTCAAGTAATGTAGTTGCAACAAGTCGTGTTCGATTACAATTGTCAATTATAACAAAGAAACAAGCCATCATATTGTACTTATTAGTACAAGATGTTATATCAAAAAAAAGAATATCATGATAACAGGTCCATAAATTTTGTTGTTCAGATAACAACCACACTAATCCACATAATCGACGTTCATCTTTCTCAAATTTGGCCTCTACAAACCAATGTAAATTCTCAGTTCGATGTGAATACAAATGCCTCATAAAATCTGAGGCGTCAAATTTAACTTGTATTACTGATTTTTTTTTTGCTATTTGAATAGAATTATAAAGACCCTTTTGATAAATCTTCCTCTCAGGAAATTTTTTTCTTAAAAGGCGTCTAATACTTTGTGCACTAGTTATACCATGGTGTATACAGAACTCTATAAACTTTATATATTATCACTGAACTTATGATATTTAGTGATATTGGTTGCAGGTAAAGATATTATCAGATGATTATGCTCATATACAACCATAGTAAAAGTAATTTCTGTTGCATTTTTTTGAAGATTTCTATTTACTCTCCATTTGCAATCTGTTGCTCTAGATTGTCAGTTCCTCTGATCATTTGAATCCAATACCTTCTTTGGTTGATACTTTCCCGCACAACTACACTCCCAACTAATCTTGCATAAAACCTTATTCTCATTTTTAATACGATTTTCAGTTCACTTTCTACAGATACTAAAACCTTTCTCTAATTCATACTTATTTAGAAAAGTTTCTGCATCATTCCAAGTGTCAAAAGGTTGACCTAAGAGAATATCAAAATTCATTAACAAAAAAAAAAAAATCTGCATTCAGCAAATTTGCCATGTAGAAATATATTACCTAACATTATTTTAAGCGAAAAAATATCTGATTCTTCATCGGAAGAGTCTGTGTCAAATATAAGTTCATGGTCTATACCATCTTGATAATCTTCAGTTATTGTATCATTTAATATATTTATTAATTTATTTGACTCTTCATTTACTGCTTTGTCAGCATCAGTATCATCAAATAATTCTATAACTAGAATATAAGATTAATTAATACCATTACTATATAGCTATAAACTACTCAAAGATCATTTTCTTATACCTGCTTTATCTGGAGAATCTGTGGCAAATATTAGCCTATAACCTATACCACTTTGATTATCTTCATTCATTGCATCATTTAAATCGTTTAATATATTTAATAGTTCATTTGATGCTTCATAAGTTGTAGCATTAATAGGTTTAGTGTCGTCAAATAATTCTATAACTAGAATGTACTGTAAGATTAATTAATACCGTATAGTTATACAGTAAACTACTCAAAGGCCATTTTCTTGTACTTACTTTTATTTTTTTACACACTTATGTCACTTGCATTAACCATTTAATAAGACTTAAATTAATAAGTATTTTTGTCTTTACTGGGTCATGACTATTTCATTTTCACTTTTAGTACAATAAGTAACTAACGTTAACTATTTAATGATTTAACAATAAGTATTTCTGTCTTCACTTTTAGTATACACGTGCCACTAGTGTTAATTGTTTAATAAGACTAATTGATAAATAATTTTAACTTTAACTCACGTTAGCAGTTTAACAAAACTAAATCTATTTGCAAAAAGAAGTTCGATTACGATTAATCGAACCCTTATTTATTTGTATAAATTAAAGCTCCGATCACTTACATCTGTCAAAATAAACTCACCGGTAATTCTCCCTTTTTGTCAAAATAAACTCATGGTAAATAAAGTACTGTAATAGGGGGGATATATAAATAATTCACGTGATTACCGGTAATTTCCTCTCGGTAAACTATAGTTATTTTCTTAAATAAAAAACAAAAAAAATATATTGCCAGCCAATGAAAAATTAAGATAATATGTAAAGTTTGTAACTCTAATTTTGTTATATATACTATATAATAACTATTGAGTTATAAACATTATATAAGATTTTAAAATTTAATTAACTAGAGAAATTTTTTTATTTTATACTAAAAAAAATTTTTTTATTTTCCTTTTTTAGGCTATATTAAGTTAATTTTTTGGTTCTCAAAACATATTAACCCGCCCGCTTAGACTTTTATTTAAAAAATTTACATAATAGAAATTTTGAGCAAATCTATTAGACTAGTTCCAATTAGATATGAAACTGTTAGTATAGTATAGGACTCCTGAATATACTATTTTTTTTTTTTTTTTTTGGTGTTAAGGTGAGGCCTTGCTCATATCTTTTATTGGGTAATTTATACAAGTAGTTACA